CCACCCTCAATTGGCCCCCAACAGGAGGAGGAGCTGAAGTGGGGAGCAGGGCAGGTAGCAGCTCGATGGAGTTACAGCGGTGGTGGCAGCGGCGGTGAGTACACCACAGCCTCCCAAGCCCCGATTCCTGGGGAGTTGGGGGATAGGGGGGCAGCAGCAGGGAGCGCTGGCCAGTCCAGCCACTGCACCTCCATCCACCCAGCCACCGTCACCACACCCAGGGACTACCAGCCATGGCCATGCCACCCGATCCCCAAAAGAGCTGCTGCCACTAGCTGGCCCCAGGTCCCAGTGGTTTGGGGACCAGGAGGAAGGGGAGGATGAAGTGGTGACACCGAAAGGGGCGAGGCCAGCACCACAGGTGGGGGAGTCCGGCTGGGGGTTGGGCGCGAGGGCCAGGGAAGCGGTGTCCTGGAAACTTGGCTTGAACCCTGCCTGGCCGCCACCTGTTTTCATGGAAGCTGCATCCACAGGTAAAGTGGGCGGGCGGGCGGGTGCCGCAGCCCCGCGAATGGCATCGGGGACCAGGATCCCCAAACTGCCCCCTCCCCACAGTGCACCTCTGCACCTTCCTCGAGCTTCCCACCTTGAGCACCAATCTCCCCACACATACCCTGCTTCACTACACATACCCTGCTTCACTACAGGCAACTATAAATGTAAGCAGATCGGTCAAAAACCTGAATTTCATTTTCCCAAAGACTTGGAAGAAAACAAAATACTATTAATTCTTTTATTTAATGATCATCATTATTCTGGCTTTTAAAATGGTCCTTAGAGGCAAACCGCAGCACCTGGTGCTAGAGTGCCTGTGTACAAGTTTCTTCCTTTTGTCAAGGGGTTGGGGCTATTAAGGGGCTGTTAGGGGCCTTTTGGCCAGGTGCAATGATTTCAGGGGGCGCGTTTGCACTCATGCACGCCAGCAACCTGGACACTGACAACAAAGCGACGGGCAGGCCCTCTGTCCCTAAACCCGGCTCTGTCCTGGGCATAGAGGTGACTTTAACCAGCCCTTTGATCCCTCCATGAATCGCCACACCCTACTCCCTCATTGGTCCCCTACTCCCATCCTCCATTTCTCCCTCTCTCTGTGCAGTTTATTGAAATCCCAGGGTGTGTATGTCTAATTCAGGAGGGTCAGTGTTGCCAGAGGGCTGGGGGTTGCCTTTTGTTCCCAGTTGCCAGGATGGAGAGAACTCTGACTCTTGCAGGGAGCACTGAAACTTGCAACCTCTTCAAGAAGCCGGCCTGGCTGTGGTGTTACAGGACTTGGGTGGGGAGTGGGTGAGGTTCAGCTTACCAGCAGTCTGGACTCGCCTGGGCTTCTGAAAATTGCCCTGGTTCCACCTCCCTTTTCCTGTCTCCCCAGCTTCTGAACCATAGCACTCAGGTGTCCAGAGGGGACACCAGAGGGGGACTGAGGCATCCTGGCCCAGGGTTGCGGGAGGCACGTTCGGGGAGGAGCTGCTGGCCTGGTAGTGCTGTTTTTCTAGGGCCTGGGGAAGAGGGTGCTGTGTTGTGTGCCCTGAGAAAGCTTTGTTGTGGTAGAATGGGAGTGAGTAGTTTTGGAAATGTAGCTTTCCAAGGCCTGGGGTGGTGAGCGCTCCCAGCGGAGGGGAAAGGCAGCAGGACTGGCCTTCGCACTCTAGGCAGCTGAATTACGGGAACCTCTTTATTAAGCCACTGGCTCTTACTGGTCAGGTGGTGTGGCCTTAGGCAGCTTTAACTCTGCTCCAGTACAAGATTTGAACTGAGAGGAGGAGGCTTGGGGAATGCATTAAATAAAATGGCAACATTCTGAAGGGAAGAGAAAAAACGACCATCTTAACAACCAAAAAAAGAAAAGAAGACTTAAATTTGAAAAACCCATTTGTCCTATGTTAATTATTATATGAGAGGTTGAGGGTGGGGGTGGGGAGGGGCAGTGAGGGGAGAGAATAAAACCAAGATGGCTGCCTGGCCTTTCAACTTCTTCATCTAAGTAAAGTGGAAACAAGACTCTTTATCATTGCAAATTAAGATGGCAAAAGATAATAGGTAAATAAAGGTACCTTTTTTTGTTGGTTACCATTACCATTCTTTAATGAGGGTAGCTCATGGTTCAGAACTTTTATCCACCATCATCAAAGCACTTAGTCTTCCTGTTCTGAAACTGAGAAAGGTTGCGATCCCTCAACCTGTGGACCAAATGAGCCCACAACCCCTAGTTCTGGTTGAACCTCTGGTCTCTGTTTTGTGTGTGTCTGTGTCTGATTCACTGTGTCTGTGTTCCTAGGTGCTGTTCTTGAATGTGTTTCTTTCTTAGAACATCCTCCTAAAGAATGTCTTTGGGGCCATGTTCCTTATGCAAGTCCCCTGCTTTCTGCTGGCTCTCCCTCCTCACTCAGGGACTTCCTTTCTTTTCCCCATCACTTTACGTATCTCTCCTTTTTTGGTCTAATTTCTCTCTTATTTTCTCTCTCTATCTATATATATAAATGGCTAATATGCAGAGTGCCCCTGCGGGAGTTTGACTGGGAGACCAGTAGTTCTATTGCTCGTTATTATGTGCACTGACCACCAGGGGGCGGCACGGAATGAAGTAAGGCCCTGGCCGGTGGCCGGCAGCTGGCAGCCAGCAGCCGGGGAAGGGAGGCCCCGGCCAGCAGCCAGCAGCTGGAAGGCCCTGGCCGGCCCTGATTGCTGGCCAAGCCTAGGGACCCTACAAGTGCATAGATTTCGTGCACTGGGCCTCTAGTCCAGTGGTTCTCAACCTTCTAGCCCTTTAAATACAGTTCCTCATGTTGTGACCCAACCATAAAATTATTTTCGTTGCTACTTCATAACTGTAATGTTGCTACTATTATGAATCGTAATGTAAATATCTGATATGCAGGATGGTCTTAGGCGACCCCTGTGAAAGGGTTGTTCGACCGCCAAAGGGGTCGCGACCCACAGGTTGAGAACCGCTGCATCTAGTCTAATAATATTTATGCTTGTCAACTGGATGCATAGTTTTCTGTCATTCATGTCCTTGAGCTTAAAAAGATTAAAAAAACAAAATGACCCTAAAAACTAAAATCTAGCTTGCTCTAAATATGTAAATATTAGGGGAGCCTAAATAAAAAAGATAGATTAACATTGGTGAGAATTAGTCTGAAGATTTTTGGTTGTAAGAGTCCAGGCTTGGCAGGCAGAGATTGTATTTCAGAATAGTGGTGGTGATCTCCAACATGATGGAGCAGCTACGTGGTAGAGAAAAGAAAACAAATATCTCCAGGTCACCTGGTGGGATAGTCTCTTTTGGGTGGAATAAGAGCCAAATGGTACTGACATCACCAGGAGATGGAGTTTAGGTTTAATTTAAAAAGCAAGAAGGAACAGAAGAGGCATAATTCCCAGAGCTCTTGAGAAAGAATACAAAGTGTTGTATAATCAAAGAAAAACTAAAGAGAGCAAAAATAGCTAGGAGACTTTAGGCAATCTACGCAGAGAGAGCAAAGATGAGGAAACAGAGGCAAATTTCCACTATGGGAAACTTTCTGAAGGACTTTAGTGAAAGACAATATAGATAAGATTTGATAAAATAATGATTTTTTAACAGAAAAATCACAAAATCAAATAATTTCCTTATTTTTATTCAGATCATTTTGAACAGACCACAATAATGTTTTTCTATCACCTTCACTATTTCAAAATAATATATCTTGCCTCAACTGTCTAACATAAAAATGCATTTACCATGGATACACAGCATAGTCCTTGCCCTTACCTATGAGGTCGGTTGGGCCAGTTCCCAGGTTTTCTCCTCTAATTGTGACCTTGGTCCATGGTATTCCTTCATTTGGAGAGATGCCTGTCACAAGGGGGGGTTGTCGTGAACGAGACATTGTGATTTCTTGAGCAAACTGAAGATCTAGTAACAGAGATAATCTGTTAAAAGATAAAAAAAGGATTAAAGCCAACTGAGATAAGCACTGACTCAAAATATAAGAATTCTAGACATTAGGTACCAAAACATAAAATATATTTTTAAACAGTAGTCCCGAACTTTTTGGCTGCCTGCCAACATCTACTGAACTTTAAGTTTACTAAGAACACTCTAGATCAGTGGTTCTCAACCTTCCTAATGCCGCGACCCTTTAATACAGTTCCTCATGTTGTGGTGACCCCCAATTTCATTGTTACAAATTGAACATAATTAAAGCATAGTGATTAATCACAAAAACAATATGTAATTATATATGTGTTTTCCGATGGTCTTAGGCGACCCCTGTGAAAGGGTCCTTCGACCCCCAAAGGGGTCGTGACCCACAGGTTGAGAACCGCTGCTCTAGATCAAGCATGTCAAACTCACAGCCCACAACAAATATTTTTGCGGCTCACCCAATATAATGGTATGTAATCAACATTTTAATAAAAATTTCATAACTTAATTTTTATAATATTCTGTTACACAAAATTATTATTAACGAACTACAACATTTGCTAATGACTGATTACTATTATCAGGTTGCATTTATTTCCTTTATACTCCTTGCGCGCAGGCACGCCATTTCTATCCACTAATACTAGCAGCGAATATTTTAGCAGCCGATTGTCAAGTCATTAGTCTTGTACTGATTTGTTTGGTGTGCGCAAAAGGAAATATTTCACTTTCGGAGAACAAGAAAAATAGGTTTGTGTTACGATTATTAATGTGTACAGTTATTTAGTGTCTGGTAAGTTAATGTTCAAGAAAAATATTTCTTATTAAAATGTTCTATTATTTTATGTAAATGATTACTCATTTATTTCAGCCATTTGTATTCAGCATGTCTCTATCGAAATAAACCTACGTTTCTATGAATATTAAAGCTTTTCTTTTTTTGCAGCCCACATAAACTTAAAATTTGTTTATTTGGCTTGCGTTAGCCTTTGAGTTTGACATGCTTGCTCTAGCTAGTACTGTGAGGAAAATATCAGAAAAATAACAGAAAATTAAGCCCTTGGTAATAAGAACTTTCACAACACAATAGACCAGTGGTTCTCAACCTTGGCTGCACATTAGAATCACCTGGGAATCTTTTTAAAATCCTGATTTCTGAGCCTCATCCTCTGGAAATTCTGTTTCTTTGTTATGGGGTG